AGAGAGAGAGCCCGTGAGAGAGGGCTGTATTTATGGGTTTGGGAGGGACTGGCCAGTGCCATGCTGGGGCCTGGCAGGGGCTGGCCAGTGCTGTGTTTGGGTCTTACTGGAGGGGGCTATGAGGTAGTATTCCTATAGGGAGAAGTTGTTTGAGCACAGGTTTAAACTTCCTGTGTGCACGAAACTGTGTGGGGGGAAGCCAGAGCTTAGGGCCTTTGTTGTCTTTGTTTGGTTCTATATAGTGTTTAGCGCCATCTCGGGAGACAACCTTCCGACTGTTCCCTGCGCCCTAAACTCAGGATGGCTGCAATCGGGATGGCAAGTTTCATCTGCCAACTTCCTACCACTGGAAGGTTCTTAAAACCCTCCATAAGACCTTTCACCCGGAAGAGATACAACTTTCCAACTAATCTGAAAGTGGTTTTCAGTAAAGGTTACTGGAATAGACTTTTGGATCCGTCATACTAGAATGAAAGCATGGAGTCCAGGAGAAGCTGACATAGAAAAGCATACAGAATCAAACCAAAGATTGTAAAAGATAAGTACCACTACTAACTGCCTATGGATTTCCTCCTAATGGTTCTACCTATACTTGCTGCCTTTGTTTTCATCTTGATTTGTACTGTTAGATGTCTCTGTCAAGATCTCTTAATCCTGAGGGTCCATGGGATTGTTTTCTTCCCTAGAAGTTTCCCTCAAGAACAAGCAAAATGCCTACTCTACCTTGCTTCTTGTTTCTAATATCATTAGTCCTAGCCTCTCCTAAGCACCATCCATTAGGTGACTCAACAGAGTAGTTATTCAAACATTAGATATCCTCACAGTGGAATATGGAGGAACATGCATATTATTAAATGAAACTTGTTTCCATTTTAACACTTCCTCCCAAATAGAAGAGACCTCACAGGTTATAAAACAATAAAATCATTGGCTCTACAAAAACAGGCAGTTTCAGGACCCAATTGGTTACCATCTTTTTTTATCCTCTAGGGATTTCCAATATATGGGCATGGGTTTTTTCCCTTAATAGCTCCTTTTGTTTTGCTTATGTGTATAGCTAACCTTCTAGTAAAATTTGTTTCTTCTCGCCTAGAGGCCATCAAACTCCAAATGGTGATGCAGATGGAGCACTGTATGGAAGCTACTGAGAACCTTTAGATCGCCCTCCAGAGGATTCCCAGCTGCCGTCCCCATGCAACGCCCATGATCAGCAGGAAGTAGTCAGACGGGTCATTGTTGTCACTCCCTAATGACAGGCAGTTACTAACAGCAGTTAGAGTATCTCCTCAGTGAGACAGGAGATAGCTAGAAAAAGGTTAGGCAGACAAACAGGCAGGTCCTCTGGTAACAATGTAGTGATCTCCTGACAGGCCTCTCAGGCTCAGCATTGGTAAACAAGTTCCCTGCAAGCCTCTGGAGCTAGAGTTTAGGTACTCACTGCTGGGATTGAAAAGCAATCAATCAGAACTGCAACAACTCACAGCTAATGGTAGCCAATCGACTTGGACTTAGAACTATATAAGCATGAGATTTTCAGCCCTAGATGGGCAACCCCTTAGGGCCCCCTCCCACTGTGGGAGCTTTTCTGTCCTCAATAAATCCTGCTTTCCCATTTTCCAGCTGTCCATGTCCTTCATTCTTCCTGGGCATGAAACAAGAACCTCGACCCTGAAGAGCTGCAACCTGAAGAGCTGCAGAAGATCACCGGAGTCAAAAAGTCATGCGCCCCAGAGGCTGGCTTGCCAGCTGACAGAGCCAGCTGAATCAGGAGAGCTGCCAGAGGAAGGTGAGATTCCCAGGGGGCTAGGCTTGCCAGCCCACCGAACCAGCAACATTTTTAGGGCTTAGCTAGCCAGCCCGTTAAAGCCAACACCCTGGGGGCTAGGCTTGCCAACCCCCCCATCACAACACTCAGGGGTTGGCTTTCCAGCCCATTAGAGCTGACACGCATGGGGCTAGGCTTACCAGCCCCTCCACAACCCTCTCTGGGCTTGACTGACTGACCCATTGAGCTGACACTCTTGAAGTCCAGGCTGACCTGAAAAATCTGCATCAAGATCATCACACATTAGATTCTCATAAGGAGTGTGCAACCTAGATCCCTCGCATGTGCAGTTTGCAATAGGGTTCACACTTCTGTGAGACTCTAATACCACTGCTAATCTGACAGGAGGCAGAGCTCAGACGGAAATGCAAGCGATGGAAAGCAGCTGTAAATACAGATGAAGTTTTGCTTATCTAGCTTTCCTAACAGGCTGCAGACTAGTACTGGATCCCTAGTTTACAGAACATTCAACCCAGTAGCTGCAGAACTCAAATTCTTCTCAATTGCATATGTAACATTCTCCAGGTCAGATCATATATGCTAGGCTGCAAAACAAGTCTTCACAAATTCCAAAAAAATCAAAGTCATATCAAGTGTCTTCTCTGGCATAATGGAATGAAACTAGAAATCAACAACAGGGCTAGGCTCAGTGGCTCAACCCGTAATCCCAACAGTTTGGAAAGCCAAGGCGAGTGAATTGCCTGAGCCTGAGGGTTCGAGACCAGCCAGGGCAACTTGGTGAGACCTCATCTCTACAATAAATCAAAAATTAACCGGGTGTGATAGTGCACGCCTGTAGTTCCAGATACTTGTAAGGCTGAGGCAGAAGGATCGCTGGACCCAGCAGGTCAACACTGGGGTGGCCATGAGTGTGCCACTGCACTCCAGCCTGGGTGACAGAGTGAGACTCCAACTCAAAAAAAAAGAAAGAAAGAAATCAACAACAGGAGAAAGTTCAGAAACTGTACAAATACATGGAAATTAAACAACATGCTCTTAAACAACCAGTGGGTCAAGGAAGAAATTAAAAGATAAATTTTAAAATTCTAAGACAACTGAAAATGGTAACACAACATACTGAAACTTATAGGATATAGCAAAATCAGTCTTTAGAGTAAAGTTTATAGCAATAAATGCCTGTATCCAAAAACATAAAAAGAGAGAGGTGGGCAGGGTGCGGGCAGGCAGCAGCGGCAGGGCCGGGGGCTGCCGGCTGTGCTCCAGCCGGGCGCAGCAGCTGTGCGGGCGCAGCAGCTGTGCGGGCACGCCATGGACTTCAACATGAAGAAGCTGGCATCCCACGCAGGCATCTTCTTCACCCGGGCCATGCAGTTCACAGAGGAGAAATTTGTCCAGGCCAAGAAGACGAGATCAATGCCCACTTTGAACACCTTCTGGCCCAGGCAGACAGCACCAAGAACTGGACGGAGAAGATCCTGAGGCAGACAGAGGTGCTGCTGCAGCCCAACCCCAGTGCCCAAGTGGAGGAGCTCCTGTATGAGAAGCTGGACAGGAAGTCCCATTGCGGGTCACCAACGAGGAACTGCTGGTTCAGTACATGGCGGAGGCAGCCAGTGAGCTGGGGCCCACCACTCTCTACTAGAAGACACTGGTCAAAGTGACAGAAACAGAAAAGCGGCTGGGAGCCGCAGAAAGGGATCTCATCCTCACAGCCTCCATGAGCCTCCTCAGACCCTTGCACAACTTCCCGGAAAGGGACTGGAAGACGATCTCGAAGGAGAGGTGGCTCCTCCAAAACCGGCATCTGGACTTGGATGCCTGCAAGGCACGGCTGAAGAAAGCCAAGGCCACAAAAGCCAAAGCCACGTGTGAGGGAGATACAGTACCCGATTTTCAGGAGACTAGACCTCCTAATTACATTCTCTCCACCAGCACCTCCGTGCGCTCTGGAATGATGAGGTGGACAAGCAGGAGCTCCCCGTGGCCCAGACAGAGTTTGACCGGCAGGCAGAAGTGACCCGTCTCCTGCTGGAGGGAATCAGTAGCATTCACGTGAACCACCTGCGCTGCCTCCACGTGTTTGTCAAGGCTCAGACCACTTACTATGCACAGTGCTACTGCCACATGCTGGACCTGCAGAAGCAGCTGGGCAGATTTCCAGGCACCTTCGTGGGCACCACGGAGCCCTCCTCCCCGCCCTTGAGCAGCACCTCAGCCACCACTGCTGCAGCCACCATGTCCATGGTGCCCTCTGTGGCCAGCCGGGGTTCTCTGGCAGAGGCTGCGCTCTGCCTGGAGGAGGTGGCCTCTCCCGCCATGGGGACCGTCAACAGCAGTGAGCTGGCTCTGCTGGCTGATGAACTCATGACTGTCTACAGCCTGCCCGGTATGGACCCTGACTGGCTCATTGGCGAGAGAGGCAACAAGAAGGGCACGGTCCCTGTCACCTACTTGGAACTGCTCAGCTAGGCAGGTCCCCTCCCAGTAATAAAAGGCATCCAGATTTTAAAAGGGTGGGTCAAAGTGTCCCTGTTTGCAAATGACATAGTCTTATATAGAGAAAATCCTAAAGACTCCACCAAAAAACTGTTATAACTAATGAATAAATACAGTAAAGTCTCCACCATGTATGTGTGTAGGATACATAATCAACATACAAAAATTTATATATGCAAAAATTTATATATGCAAATAGCAAGCTACTTGAAAAAGAAATCAAGAAAGCAATCCCATTTACAATAGCTACAAAAAAATTCCTAGGAATAAATTTAAACCAGGAAATAAAATTTTCTACAATAAAAACTATAAAACACTAGTGAAAGAAGTTGAAGAGGATAAAATAAATGGAAAGATATCCCGTGTTCATGAACTGGAGAAAATAATACTGATAAAATTTCTATACCCTAAACAATCTACAGATTCAATGCAATCCTTATCAAAATTTCAATGTCATAGAATAGTAATAGAAAAAAATCCATCCTATAATTTGTATGGAACCACAAAAGACCCTGAATAACCAAAGCAATATTAAGCAAAAAGAACAAAGCTGGAGGCAACACACTACCTGATTTCAAAGTATACTACAAAGCTATAGTAACAAAAAAAAGCATGGTATTAGTATAAAAACAGACACAATAAACAAGTGGAACAGAATAGAAAGCCCAAAAATAAACTGATACATTTTATAGCCAATTGATTTTCAACACGCACCAAGAACACACAATGGGGAAATGTTAGTGGTGTTGGGAAAACTGGATATCCACATATAGAAGAATGGAACTAGACCTCTATCTCTCAGTATATACAAAAATCAACTCAACATGGATTGAAGAAATGTAAGAACACAAACTCTGAAATTACCAGAAGAAAACCTAGGGGGTAAAACTACACTGCATTAGTCTAAGCAATGATTTTTTTGTACAAGACCCCAACAGCACAAGCAATAAAAGCAAAAATAAATAATAGGATTACATCAAACTAAAAAGCTTCTTCACAACAGAGGAAACAAGCAACAGAGTGAAAAGACAACCTACAAAATGGAAGAAAATATTTGCAAATTTTACATGTGACAAGGGGTTAATATTCATAATTTATAAAGAATTCAAACACTGAATAGCAAAAATAATGATAATGACTCTATCAAAAATCTTGCAAAAGACCAGAATAGATTTTTTTTTTAAAAAGACATATACATGGCCATCAGGCATATGAAAAATGCCCAACATCACTAAACATTAGGGAAATGCGAAGTAAAACTACCATGAGCTATCATCTCACCCCAGTTAGAATGATTATCAAAAAGCCAAAACTAACAAATGCCAATGATAATTTGGAAAAGAGAAACTCTTATACATTGCTGGTAGAAATGTAAACTAATATAGCCATTATGAAAAGTCATATGGAGGTTCCTCAAAAAAAAAAATAGATCTACCATATGATCCAGCAATCTCACTACTAGGTATATATCCAAAGGAAATGAAATTGGTATGTCAAAGACATATGCATTCCCATGTTTATGGCAGCACTAGTCACAGTAGCCAAGACATGGAATCAACCCAAATGCCCATTAATGAATGAATGGATAAAGAAAATATGGTGTATATATACACAATGGACTACTATTCAGCAATTAAAAGGATGGAATTCTGCAATTTGCAACAATCTAGATGAACTTGGAGGATATGATGTTAAGTGATATAAGTCAGGCACAGAAAGACAAATACCTCACAATCTCACCACATGTGGAATCTTACAAAAATTAATTTCATAGAAATTGAGAGTAGAATGATGGTTACCACACAATGGGAGAATAGGTTGGAGGGGGAAATACCGGGAGGTTGGTCCTTAGGGGCAGTGTTATGGTTAGCTAGGAGGAATAAGTTCCAGAATTCTATCACACAGTAGGCTGACTATATAGCTAGCAATAACACATGCATATTTCAAATACCTTGAATGTTCTCACTACAAAAAAAATGATAAAATTTTTAAGGTGATGTGTATGCTAATTATCATGATTTGATCATTACATAATGTGTACATGTATGGAAACATCACATTGCACCCCATAAATATGTATAATACGTGTCTATTTACAAAGAATATGAAAAAATTGCATCCCATAAGTATGTATAATATGTGCCAATTTAAAAAGAATATGTGGCCGGGAGTGGTGGCTCAAGCCTATAATCCCAGCACTTTGGGAGACTGAGGCGAGAGGATTGCCTGAGCCCACGGGTTCAAGACTGGCCTCAGCAACATGGTGAGACCTTGTCTCTACAATAAATCAAAAAAAAGAAAAAATATACCTTAAAAAAAGGATGATATAGGGTTTTTGTGGATGCTTTGTATAAGACTGAGGGATTTCCCCTCTGTTTCTAGCATACTGACTGGTTTTGTTTGTTTGTTTGTTTGTTTGTTTGTTTGTTTTGGTTGGAGTCTCCCTCTGTCGCCCAGGCTGGAGTGCAGAAACATGGCTCACAGCCAACACAGCCTCGACCTGCTGGAACCGCAGGCATACTCCACCACGCCTGGCTCATTTTTTCTTTATTGTAGAGACAAGGTCTCGCCGTGTTGCTCAGGCTGGTCTCAAACCTCTGAGTTCAGGCAATTCTCTTGCCTCCACCTCCCAAAATTCTGGGATTATAGCGTGAGCCTCCATGCCCAGTGTATACTGATAGTTTTTATCATAAATTGGTGTTGAATTTTGTCAAATGCTTTTCTACATCAATTGATATGATCATATGATTTTTTCTTCTTTAACCTGTTTATGTCATATATTATGTTTACTGACTTTCAAATATTAAACCACGCTGCATGTCTAAAATAAGTCCCACTTGGTTGGAATTGATTTACTAAAATTTTATTCAGAATTTTTGCATCTAAATTCATGACAGATATTGATTTTTAGTTTTCTTTTTGTGTGCTTTCTTTGTCTTAAAACAGGTTTTTAAATGTGTATTCTTCTATTTTCTGAAAGAGATTATTCAGAATTGGTACTAATCTTCTTGTAATATTTGGTAAAATTTTACAGAGAATCAATATGGACCTTGGACTTTCTTTTTAGAAATATTTTCATTTGCAGCCGGGCTCAGTGGCTCAGTCTGTAATCCCAGCGCTTTGGGAGGCTGAGGTGAGTGGATTGCCTGAGCCCGCGGGTTCGAGACCTGCCTGGGCAACTTGGCGAGACCTCATCTCTACAATAAGTCAAAAACTAGCCAGGCGTCATAGCGTGCGCCTGTAGTTCCAGCTACTTGGAAGGCTGGGGTGGAAGGATTGCCAGAGCCCAGCAGGTCGAGGCTGCAGTGACCAGGAGCGGCCACTGCACTCCAGTCTGGATGACAGAGTGAGACTCCAACTTGAAAAAAAATATATATATATATTTTCATTTGCAAATTAAATTTCTTTAATAGTTATAGAAATACTCATGTTAGGTATTTGTTAGTTTGAGGTTTTTAAGGTACTAGCCCATTTCTTCTAAGTTGTAGTAAGAGCATAAAGTTGTTAATAGTATTCCCTTACCAGCCAGCACAATGACTCACGCCTGTAATCCCAGCATCTGGGAGGTTAAGGAGAAAGGATCACTTGAATCAGGAGTTCAAGACCAGCATGGGCAGCATAGCGAGACTTCATCTCTGAAAAAAATTAGTCATGTGTGGTGAACGCAACTGTAGTCTCAGCTACTTGGGAGGCTGAGGCAGAAGAATCACCAGAGCCCAGGAGGTCAATGTTCTGGTAAGTCTAGATCGTACCATGGCACTGCAGCCTGGGTGACAGAGTGAGACCCCAACTCAAAAAAAAAATAGTATTCCCTTTTTATCATTATGATGACTGCAAGATCTGTTGTGATATCCCGTTTCATTCTGACACTGGTAATTTTTGTATTATCTTTTTCATCTTTGTCAATCTTGCTAGAGGATTAGCAATCTTTTTAATAGTCTTTTAAAATTTTTTTTTTTAAGAGATGTGGTCTTGCTATATTGCCCAGGCTGGTCTGAAACTCCTAGGTTCAAACAGTCCTCCTGCCTCAGCCTCCCCAAGTGCCAGGATAACAGACATGAGCCACCATGCCCGGCCTTTATTAATTTTCTTAAGGACCAGCTTTTGGTTTAATTATTTTTCTCTATTGTTTTTCTAGTTTCAATTTTATCTATTTCTGTTCTTATATTTTTTACTTATTGCCTTTTGCTTTGCGTTCATTTTGCTCTCGTTTTTTCAGTTTCTTATGGTAGGAACTTAGATTATTGATTTGAAATATTTCCCCTGCTGGGTGCACTGGCTAGTACCTATAATCCAGCACTTTGGGAGGCAGAGGCAAGAGGATTATCTGAGCCTAGAAGTTCGAGACCAGCCTGGGCAACTTGATGAGAACTCGTCTCTACAAGAAATCATAAAATTAGCCAGGTGTGGTGGTGCACACCTATAATTCCAGCTACTTGGAAGGCTGAGGTGGAAAGATTGCCTGAACCCAGCAGGTCAAGGCTGGGCGACAGATTGAGACTTCAATAAAAAAAAAATAGAAATATTATCTTTTCTTTTCTTCTTCTTCTTTTTTTATTATTTTTTTTGTTGTTGAGTTGAAGTCTCATTCTGTCGCCCAGGCTGGAGTGCACTGGCATGCACACGGCCACCACAGTCTCGACCTAACTGGGCTCAGGTGATCCTTCAGCCTCAGCCTTCCAAGTAACTGGAACTACAGGCATATGCCACCACACCCAGTTAATTATTTTTTACTTATTGTAGAGATGAGGTCTTGCCAAGTTGCCCAGGCTGGTCTTGAACCCATGGGCTCAGGCAGTCCTCTCATCTCTGTCTCTCAAAAGTGCTGGGATTATAGGCATGAGCCAACATGCCTGGCCATATTTTCTCTTTTCTAATGGAAGTATTTAGTGTTCTAAATTTTCCTTTCAGCCCTGTATGATCTGTATCTCACATATTTTGATGGGTTTCATTTTCATTCAGTTCTATATTTTTTATTTGC